TTCAAACTCTCAAGATAGAAAATATCACAAAACATAAATTACATAAGGAAAATAAAACAACTTTGTTTCTTTGTCAGTATCTAATGAACCATTACTTTAACACAACCAATACTTTAAATGATTACCGTCACAATCGGATCTATTGACACAGTTTGTAATATCTAAGAGTTTGACTTTGGCTGCTGACTACTTACCACCAGGGGTGGACTGGGACGAAAAATCGGCCCTGGCATTTTGGCTAGACTGACCCACCACATTATTTTTTTTTTGGTGTACTGAATGTGTATACCAACTGTGTAATACCTTGAGGCCAGGTTAATGGAAATTAGTGAGAGTGGACACTTAAAATACTTCCAAAATCTTTATTTATTAACACTGTAAAATGTAAACTCCACCACAGCATAGCAACAATTCTTAGATAAGGGAGTGAGGGAGGGAGAGAGAGAGAGAGAGAGAGAGAGAGAGAGAGAGAGAGAGAGAGAGACAGGTCTCAGTCAATCACACATATTATCACGTTATATCATCATAAGAAGTTATTGTAAGTTGCTCATCAGATCTATTCAGTCTTCCAGTTACTGTAGGGTAACATTGGACTACTGTGCACTCGTTGTGTAAAAAAGGACGCCAATTACAAAATTATGACCATTAGAAATCCTGTCAGAGAGGATGCACTCAGTGTAGGCTACAAAAAAAATCATCATTAGCCACTAGTGCTAATGACTAGTGCTAATGACTAACTTTACCATTGAACAGTAACCAACACATTTTTATTGGGGTTATGTTATTTTATCATATTCATCAAGGGGTTGGTTGGTTTATCCTATCATTACCAGACATCCCAAGTTCCAAAAACTCATTTCAGGGAGATGCTTATCCCCCAACCGCCCGCCCCCCGGTGACAACGGACCCACACCGTGCCCCATACATACAAACTTAAGGCCAGCAACTTTTCAACAACTGTTTATTAACTAAAAGTAATTTCTTAAACACTAAACAGATCAGTATTGGTATTTTCTTTTTAATACTTTCAATCTTGTAGCCTTGAACATCGGTTGTGCTTTCTGTTTTTCATGGAACTTCAGCATACAGTGCACCACGCCACGGTGTCATCATTCATCACCATGGCTGTTTCTAGACAGGGGCCAACGGCGGCCAGTGCCCCTGTACATCATGTCCTGGCCCCGGTTATGGCCCCTGTACTGAAGACATAATACTTAAAAGAAATTCTAATAATGATCTGCGCTGGAACAGACATGATTTCTGATAGGTCCTTTGGATCTACTTCATTGTTTCATTACAAATTCTGTTTTACTAATTATTTAAAAACAATAGGTGATAGCTTCAGTGGGATTGAGATAGGATCCCAGTTTTCATCTGATAATTTTTTTTTCCACAACTAATAAAAAAATGCTCAAATTTTTACAGATGAATTTAACAGTTTTTCTTGAGTTCAAATTCAAATTTATATAAAACTGTAGTTTTAACTTAAATTAATAAAAAAATATATGTAAAATTCCTAAATTTTAAATGTATATTGACCTCATAAGAAATAGAATTTTTATTGAACCTTATTGAAAATAAATGTCCCTTCATGCAGCTCTCTTAATATATCTAAATCTCTTGCCCTGTTTTTATTTTATGCTTTTCTGAGCCCCCATGAAAACACGCTGGCCCACTCCTGGCCCCCTGGTACATTTGGTCTAGATCCACCACTGTCTAGTGGAGGGGAGGAAACCCCCTTCTTCACTAGATGTGGATATACTTTAGGATATTCTGCTATAAAATTTGTCCTTCATTTTAGTTTTTTACTCGAGGATTGAACCTCTGCCATTTCCCAGGATGCACAGCTTTGAGTGGTAACTAGATGACTGCCAGAGAGTAACCAGAGAAACTTATCGGACTGATCCAATCAGCATCGCTTTGGACAAATAAGCTGCACAGGTTTCACCGGCAACCTCCTCCCCACACCCGCTCTGTCTTGTTGTTCCTGGGCAATCGCAGTAGTTCTAATCCGCACATGATGCATGAATCATTGTACTGCCTGTCCGCTCTTACTCGCTTAAAAAAACTCCACCTCCCATAGTCTAAAATCCAGGATAATTTATCCCACTCGCGGGCATCTGTGAACAACTATCTATATCAAGGAGATTCCCAGAACTTCAGGGAGACTTGGGATGTCTGCATTACATAGTTTGGGGCTCTGAAAACTGTCCGGCTTACCGCAGCTTCTACTACTGCATCAGCCGCACTGACATGTTCACTGCTCGGTTCGCCCTCGCCTCCACTACAACCTCCACCACCATCATATTTTACATCAAACACAGGAGCAGATGAAGGGTCTGCTGTTGGGAACAAGTCAGTCAGTTTGACACATTTCGCAGCGTCCATTTGAAGAACTTGTTTCTTTTTTTCGCGCAGTTTCTCTGCGCCTCCCTTGCGTTTCTTATCCATTACTACTGTGAACACCGCTGCACAAAGTTCCAATGGAGACTGAAAGTGTTTTTCTACTTGATGATTGGCCTAGCCTTTTAGACTGTCAGGGATGATAACCAATGGGCTGCAGTGGCCTGTGGTAAGGGCCGAATGATAGGAACAGATACTTGCGCTGCTGATTTTATTTTTCTTCATGCATTATGCAAATATAATGAGGCTGAAATATAATAATAATAATAATAATAATAATAATAATAATAATATAATATTATAATAATAATATATATTATTAATATACATGTCGGGTCTGCCCAGTACGCCCGATTACCAGTCCATGCCTGCTTACCACTAAATTAGTCATTGAATAAATTAAAATTTTTGCTGATGAACTGAATAAACAGATTTCGTATATTGCTGCCTACATCTGCCAAGCTTTATTTTGACAATTAACTGCATATTGGATGTAATCATGCTGCTGTCTTTTAAACCCCCTTTTGGAACCCCCCTCTGGTTAAAAGGGGGTTCCTCCATCAGCTTTTTCTAATTGGCTTAGCCGAGGATATGACCTCACCAAGGGAGAACTGGTGTAAGCAGGTCTACCTTGGCCTGATGTTCTCTGCTGACTCGCTGTTTCTACACATAACGCTTCACTTAGGGACTGAAAGTACATCAGTGAGTTTATCATAATGAAAAATATAATGAAATCCTAGTTTCTCCATTATGAAAATATTACATCTATTAAAATTCGATAAGTCTACTTCATTTGTCTAGACTAGTATAAGGATTTGAAAATAGTTTTGTGTCAGTAATTCACATGACATAAAAACAGTTAGGAAAAATAACAATAATATTAAACAGCAACTGTATATATAAGAAAAAAACAATCTTTAGGACAGAGAGGAGTGTCCCTTCTCTTTGTCGTCTAAAATAAGGATTAGTTATTCCTTTCGTGTCGAAGGGTCAGAGGACATAAAAGTTATTCAATGGAGTCTAGGCGGAAATTCAACTGAAAAAACTAATTATTTCTTCATACATCCACCTGCGACACAGCCAATCAGCTTTGAACCACTCCTCCACAAAAGCCAATCGGCATCCAAAGCTCATTTTAAAAGGTCTCCGATCCGCACCTGTCTGCTCCTGTGCGCAGGCGGTGGATGCGCTGTTATTTTATTCAAATAGCACCGTTTGAACCCACCTCCATCCTCTCCTCCACCTTCGTAGCTAAAGCTTCATCAGAGTGTCATTCCTCCCGGACTCTTACTGCGGTTCCTGTCTCATCTTAACCGGTCCGGCAGAAGACATGTTGAGCCTGGTTCCATCTTCCAGGTCCTCGAGTGAAGCTCTAGTATCAGCTCACGCAATTCACATGATCTCTCCATAAAGCTCAGCATACCGTCTTGCTAACCAGCAGTCTACAGACTGACCAACTTCATCT